AGTTTGTTAGTTTGTACGTCTCATTCCCTTCCACTGTGAGTAACTACCTTTTCCATCACATTAAATTACGGAACTAACCCTGTGCGGCAGTTTCCACTTTCAACTTTCAACTTTCAAATTAATAATTAATTAGTTATAACTCTAAAAGGCTTGTTTTTTTTTGGGAAAGAAAAACAGGATTTTAGATTAAAAAAGTATAAGCTCTGATTTTTCAGTTATTATCGTGGCTAAAATCTATTTAAATCAAATGAACATTATCTAAATTATTTTTATCAAAATAAATTTTAAAATGAATAATATATTATTCATTCTAGTTATATACAAAAACAAAATAAATATTTAGCAGCACGAGCATTAACAAAATAGATTAAATGGGTTGGCATGACTTGTTAGCCCAATAACATTTAACTGTGTTTTTGTTTTAAAAAATTTATAATTTTTTATAATTTTTTCTCTAGTATTTTTTTATTTATATTTAAATTAAAATTTATTATCTCTTTTATCTTGTTTAAAAAGACTTTTTTAAAATAATAATAATTTTTTTAGTTATATATTTAAATCTAAATAGTAATTCATCTTTTTTTTTCTTTTGTATGATTAAAATTTATTTTTGAAAATAAAAAATTTTATTTTTAGATAATATTTCTAATATGTATAGTCTTAAATGACATTTTTTTCCTTTTTTTATTTAATTAACTTAATTTATGTCTCTATTTTTGTTATCATTTTCTTAAATAAAAAATTATTTTAATAAACAAATTAGTAAATATAATCGGGTAAATATATTAATCTACATCAATCTTTTAATTTTTCAATTTTTATTTTTAAGTATCATTAATGACTTTTCATTTATTTATTTACATACATAATTCTTAATTTATTTAATTATATGTATGCGTAAAGTTTTTAATTTTATCTTAAACTTTTTAAACTAAGTATTGCATTGAAAAAACTTACATATATAATTTCTTTTTAAAAAATAAAAATATCCTAGATTAGTCCCTTACATTTAAATATTTTCTTGGTTGAGTTTCCTTACTATCGATTTTATCAATTGAGTCCTCCACCTCTCAAATCTAGCTTGCTCAATCGAGTCCTTATATTAAAATGATTGTCACCTGTTTATCTTTTGTAATCAACACTTGTAATAATAAGAGTGTGGTCAGAATATTAATATAATTCATTATTGTTTTGATTTAATTTAACTTGTCTCGAATCCAAGACAATAACTAGGAGTTGTTTTTCATCATTTAAGAAAAATAGAACAGCTTGTGACCTAATTAACATTAACTCTAATGATTTCACTGGAAGAATCCAATTACGGAAAGATGTAAGTGTAGATGGGACTTGAATGATAAAAGCGGTACTTGAGGGATTAAACTGAGAAATATACATAATTGAGGGTCCATTATGCTTGCCTCCCACCCTGCAACTGTTAGCTAGCTAGATAGGAGGGCTCCATGCCTCTGGTACCCTGATGATACAATATTATGGTAGCATTTTGAAAACTTTTTTTTTTAATAAATTCATGGATATTTGACTTAGAATTTAAAATAACACCATTTAGATAAACAGTAATGTATAAATTGTAATTATTTCAAAATATATAATAATTTCTTCTTGTTACAATTACAATCGATTAATTAGTAGTTTGATAAGGTGCGTGGCTGTTGTAATAAATAGCTTTCAGGTGGTTGAAGGGTTGAGAAGAGGAGGATGTAACACCAAACAAAACATTTATAGGTTGCATACATGGTGGTACCTCCTTAATCCTATTTATTTTTATATTTTAATCAAAACAAATTATGTAAAAAATTTTATTTTTATTTTAAATTAATATTTCTTAGTGTTTTTAGATTATTTCAATATATTGATATTAAAAATAATTATTTTAATAAAAAAACAACCTTAACTATAATTTCAAATTAGAGACACCCTCTTAATAAATTTGGTACATCTTGCCGACCAGAGCTCTCTAATATTTTCCTTGAGTTATTAGATTATGAATTTGTTTGCAGTTTGGACCCATTAATGGTTGAAACTGCCAAATCACATGATGAGGAAAGCCCTTTTCTTTTCTGAAAGAAGGAGAAAACCCATTCTTTCAACCATAAATTTCTTCGCATGTAAGCTTCTAAGACTTAAGAGGCACGCTGCTGTAATCAGATTCTAGCAGTCGCATGGCTTAATTTTACAGGGAAGCCATATATACACGTATTCCTGCAGTTCTTGTTCTTTTCTGTCTGTTTGCACAGTATAAATCTATATATTGATCATCACTAGCTAGATTAATAACTCGATGTGCCTCTGCTGTAATCAGATTCTAGCAGTCGCATGGCTTAATTTTACAGGGAAGCCATATATACACGTATTTCTGCAGTTCTTGTTCTTTTCTGTCTGTTTGCACAGTATAAATCTATATATTGATCATCACTAGCTAGATTAATAACTCGATGTGCCTCTGCTGTAATCAGATTCTAGCAGTCGCATGGCTTAATTTTACAGGGAAGCCATATATACACGTATTCCTGCAGTTCTTGTTCTTTTCTGTCTGTTTGCACAGTATAAATCTATATATTGATCATCACTAGCTAGATTAATAACTCGATGATCTGTACTAAAAAGAGTCTGGATATGCTCACATGCATGAACTCGCAATATATATTCCCATTGATGAAATCAGTGTGAGTCTTCTTCTGATCTCCTCGTTTTCCTGCTGTATGTATGCGCTGGTGGAACAAGCGTAATGACTCTCTAGTAAGCGTTTTTTTTTTTTTAAGAGAGAGAGTTTTAGTTAATGAAATTAAAAAAAAAAAATCAAAAGCACGTTAAATATTGTAATTAATGTGAATATTAACAAAAGCTAAAACACATGGAAATTCACTGAAATAGTATAACGATGTTTTTATCTTTCACACAAGAAGTTATTGAAGTGGCTATTGGAGGCAGTGAGATTTTCACAAGTCCGTTGTTTATTATTAAATTAATCAGTGACAATTCTATATTTTCATATTTGTAAAATACAATGGACTGACTTAATTATTATTTAAACTAAAAAAATTAAAACCGGGAATGGCTTAGTTATTATTTAAAGTAAAAAAAATTAAAAAAGGTGTCTAGGAACTTTTTTGTATTTTTATATTAATTCTTTTTTATTATTATCAGATTAACTTATAAGCAATTTAATATTTAAATAAATCTAAAATATAATTAAAAAAAAATATGTAACTCACGTGCCAACATGTGGAAGAAGCACGTCATTCCTCTCAGAAGCCAAAACTTTCCTCCTACCATGTCGTTGGAAGTGACATGCCGTTCTTTTTTTATTTGGGTGGCACATGGCAGCATTGATGTAATGCCAATAACACTTATTTCCTCGCCTTTTCTTTCTTATCATCTTAAAATTTGTGTTGTACATGAGAAAATTTCTTAGTTGTCCTTTTATTTATTGAGATTTTAAATTTGATTTTTATTTTTTTAATATTTTATTTTAATTTTTATTTTTTTTAAAATTTTGATTTGTTTTCAATTTCATCATTCAATCTCATTTTATGATATGTTATTTTTTTCAAATTAATCATTATTCTTATTGATTTTTCTTTTCAATTTCATCATTTAATTAAAAAAATCAATTATCCTTAAATTTAAGTTTTATTTCTATGTTGATACTCATTTTTTTACTTGCTATTTTTTATTTTGGATCCTTTTGTGTAGATTTCTTTTCAATTTTATCTTTTAACATTTGATTGGTTTAGTTTTATCATTCAATTAAGAAATTTTAGTTATCCTCTAATTCATTTATTTTTTTAATATTGATCTCATTATTTTAATTGTTAATTTTTGTTTTGGATCCTTTTATATAATATTTTTTTTAATTTCATCATTTAACATTTAATTGGTTGAGAATTGGATTTCATGAGGCTGCTTCCGATCTAATAACTTGGGTTACAAATTTTAAAAGTTAATACAAATTGATATCATTTCTTTTTTTTTTTTAGGAGTTCATCATTTGACGTTGATTATTTTTAAAAAAATTAATTTTTGTAGTTTTTTATTTTTTTTATCGAGGTATTTTAATTTTACCATTTAAATTACAGGTTTAACTAATTAACACAAGTTACCCATTTCTTTTTACAATATCACCCTTTTAAAAGAAATTTTAATATTTTTTTTGAATGTTATTTTTTTAAAAAAAATTGCAAGTTACCCATTTCTTTTTACAATATCACTCTTTTAAAAGAAATTTTAATATTTTTTTTTAATGTTATTTTTTAAAAAAAAATTGATAATAATCCAACCCCTTAGCATAGTTTTTGATTGATGTAGTTTCGAACGTCATTTTAATCTCAAAGTAGTTTTGATTGATGTATGAGCTCAAAAATACAATTTCGTAGAAAGACGTGTCCTTAGACTTTGGACTTGGAAACTTGAGACTTAAGACTTTGGACTTGGAGACTTGATCTTTTCTCCATGCTTAATTATCTAGCACATTTTTCCAATTGAGTTGGCTCACCAACTTTAAATAATGTCCAAGATCTGAAGTATCGAAAATTGCAAGGGCTCGAATAAACGAATTCACATTAACAAAATCTTGGGATCAAGTCTGTGCATCAAATCAATAGCTTTGTTAGGTCAACGAAAGTATTAAAATCTAAGATTTCTTTCCTTATTTTGCAACATTTTCAAGATTTTTGTCAGCTATTAAATCATTTCATATGCTATTTTCCAAACGTTAGTTGTCAAAACAACTTGAAGCTTATATCAAAATCAAAATATCGATAGACAAGATATATATATATAAAAGCTTGTGGTGTTCGCGATCTCGATAGACAAGATATATATAAAAGCTTGTGGTGTTCGCGATTAACAAAGAAAAAGAAACGAAGACCTTTGTCCAGTTTCACGTACTGACCTGGCAAAAGGAAAAAAATCACTTTGGAAGAGACATAAAACGTAATGAACTGCTGAATCTGTCAATGATCAAATCAAGCAAGGTCAAATTGCAGAAACCAGGATGAGAACATAAATCCTGCCATTGTCGTGTTATAGTCTATGAGTTTGAGTATTACAATATATTCAGGATGGAATTTGACAGAAACTTGTTCAATTTGTGAACAAGGGTCAAGCTGCTCTCCTATTCACAATTGTCCATTCAGATGGCTGTAAACTCAAAAAATAAGTCAGCTTCAACTTGATACTCCCTGATCCACTGTGACGAAAACGCTTGCAGGCACGGCGACATCAGACTCAATCACTACACGGTTTTCTGAAACATTCCTTAAAGCATGGCTAGGAAACAATGTGCCACTTGAACTTACTGAGTATTGTACATGATCAATAAGGTTAGGAAACAAGAGCACTGGACTAAAGTCTATAGTCCATGAAGTGCCATTCCCTTGCACAGAGCCTTTTGCAACTGTTGCCTTCAGATTCATCCCGTTGACATTATTCCTGTCCACCACAACTTGGTCAATTTGCTTAAAAGGCCCTTTTGATTGGTCCAACTGAACAATCTCGATCCCCTTATTAGATCCAGAAAACATGTTATCGACAATGTTGATTCCCTTTGCCAAACCTTCAACTGATTTAAATAGGATATATGCATCTCCAAGGAAAAAACTGCTAGAGATCGTTAGCTGCACTGGGTCCTCAGCAACAATGCCGGAGTAATCCAAGTAACAATTCACAATCCGGGTCTGTGTCAAACTAGGCAGCTTCAAATAAATCCCCGTACCTCCAAAACCTGTTGCCTTATTATAACAATGTACACCAGATAGTGTGTTCGCCTGACCTGAAATCATTACTCCTATAGCAGCTGAGAAAATGACCACATCTGTGACAGCATTATCATTTCCCATTAGGTTAATTGCAGTGCCTGAAAAGTTTCTTTCCCCCGGATCACCACCTGCGGTAATGTGCTGGCCAAGGAAGGAGTTGCGGATATAGGTTTCATGGCCATCTTGGACTGAAATCCCTTCAGTATTGAAACGTGCAATATAACAATTATCTATGCTGGTCCTGAGTGAGTTTATAACTGAAATGCCTCCACCCCTATAATTGCAGTCCAGCATGAGGTCTTTGATAGTTATATACTCATAGTTATAGGATGACGACGACGACGACGACGACGAAGCAGATAGATCAATAAGATATCCATCTGTTGGGAAGTCATTTGAGGCTGTTAATGTCCCTCCACTAATCTGTTCAACCAAAATATGATATTAAACTAGTTATCAGTTGAAGTGAATAATCAAAATTGATGCTTGTGGTTCATATATTTTACAATTAAGTAATCTTTGGATATTTCCTGAAATTTACAATATTATGCTCTCACCTATTACTAGCTTCTCGTACACTTTCATATATATTGAATGGTATACATGAAAACTATTGATTAGATTTTTTTTGTCCAAATTCTCATCAGACACAATTTTCTTTATTTTAACTAGTTGTATCAAAGATTAAGTTCCTTTAAAGGCTTCATTATTTATTTTATATGCCTTAATTTATTTGAAAGCCTAATTAGGAGAAAGAAAAAGGAGTTATGATGGCGACCAAGTAAAATGGAACTTTCAGGGTCTCTATAATTGGGGTAAGGTAGTCTTTATTTAAAGCTGGTTTATTTTTGTGTTTTAAAGTATGTGTTTAAAATTGAATTTTTTTTATTGTTGTTTTTTAAATTAATTTTTTGATGTTTTCAAATCATTTTAATGTGTTAATATCAAAAATATTTTTTTAATATATTTTTAAATAAAAAACTTTAAAAAATAAATATTATCATAATAATAAACAAACTCTTAATACATCTGCCAGCTTCCCTAATTTTTTTCAACAAAACAGCTAAAAAACCAACAATCAATAAGAAAAAAAAAATGTCAGAAGGTGCATTTCCAAGATCGATTTATACCAAAGTTCATATAAAAAATTCCCCAAAAAAAAAAGTTAATGCTTAAATTGAGATTAAGAAAAACAACATTCAAGCTTGCCAAGGAGGAGTAGTTTTTTCTTTACAAGTTATGTATATTTTCCTAGTTCATTTTAGATAAAGATTCATTGGGGATTCTAGACCTGTGATGTATTGATAGGTTTCCATTGAAAACTAAACTCACAAACACAATATTTAATATGGTTCGGCAAATCATTTATATTCATAAGAGAGTTTTATATTATTAGAGATAGAAAAAAGATAAAATACAAATATATAGAGAAGGAGGATCACTTTCACTCTACTCAACTCTCAGTTCTCATTGTTGCACTTTTAGCTACTATAATGGCACTAAAGCTATTGTCATTGTCCTTCTTTCTCTCTATTCTTTTACATATACTCGTCATTCTCTTTCAATTTATTCTTTAAAATTATGTTTTTTTTTAAATTAAAATAGTAAGATAAGATTCATAAATCATGGTAGAATTGGTGGGATAAAAGTCATCAAACATAAATAGTGACATTAATAATGACATTAAGAAAGTGATGTTTTTAGACACTAATGGTAATTTCCCAAGGGGAGAGCACTCCAAACACAAAATTATCTAGAAGCAGAAATCAGTCACAAGCATGAGTCCTAAAAAATTGATACCCCAACCGGCACCAATATCGGAAATCTGTCCCGCCACGTGGGTTACTTTCATATGGCCTCATGGCACCTTATACCATAAAATGAGAAGAAAAGTACGATGATAGATACGCATGGTAAATCAAACATGCCAAGAGTAAAAAGACACATTTTACATCACTTTCAACTGTTTAGGAAATTGAGATTTCTTTGTGGGGATACTTACCATAAGGTTTCCAGCTCCAGCAGCCGGCAATCGCAGAGGTTTGCTGATCCTGTAATTACCACCTTGAAGATTAATGTAAGCCCCTCCAAGATTGGCGATTCCCTTCATCAAGAACCCTTCACTGGGACCATTAAATGCATCTGTTATAGCTTTTAGAAGGGCTTCTGTACTGTCTAATTTCCCTGTTGGATCTGCACCGTATGATGTAACCTCATATACATGTGGACGAGACCCAGGTGGCTGATTCATAGCCTGAATCACCAACAAAACTGTCAACAATAAGCACTCAATTCAAATCATTATTTTCTTTACCAACAAAGAGCCAACCAAGAATAAGTAATCAAGCACTGATATGGTCTACCTGTGGTGCCGGAGCTGGAGAGGAAGAGATTGTGGGAGTGACCAATTGTCGACGAGTTAGCAAAGAGTGCTTAAAAGCTTTCATATTTTGCATTTGGTCATCATAGTGACCATCAGTAGAGAGTTTTTGATGATCAAATGAAAGAGAATTCTCTCCATTGACATGAACTATGAACAAACTAGCCAACCCCATGATAATCATGATCATTTTTCTTTGATGACCCTGACTATGTTAAAGAGAAGTTGTTGAAGAAAAAGAAGGCATTCGTGTATAAATTTATACACAAAGAGTTAGAGAGAGGGAGAGGGAGAGGGTGAAGGAGCTGGGAGAGACATACAAGCTATAACATGGAAAGAGGAGGGCGTAACTAAGATTTTATAAGCAAACATAAAGATGTCTCTCTCGTATAGCTAGGGATCATTTATGTGGCACCTATGTGTGGTTTTTCCTTTCTTTAATGTAAGAGAATTAGGCTAACAGGAGCGCTTTCGAAATATTTTTTTCTAACAGAAAGAAGAAGAAGAAGAAGAAGAAAAGGGTGAGAGAGTAAGTTACCTACTTCTTACTTTATGTATCCTCCTAACAAGTTTGACATTCTGTGAAAAAAAAAGGTAATTTTACAAAACAAGGCAATGCTGTCATGCTCTGAGAATATCTTCTGGATCAAGATTACTTGAGACGGGGCAATCTTCAAAGCTTGCTCGTGAACAAATCATATGACTGTATGTGATGATGTGGTTTTTTGTTTTTAATCTATGTCATGATGTGGTACAACGCATATACATGAATAATCACTGTAAATTCATGGTATTTCTCAATTTATCTCTTATAACATGTAGCTGTCTGCCTTTGCAAAATTACAACGTTGTTTGTGATGTTTCGGTCTGCCTGTCCACGTCCTTGATCATATATAGACCAAGCCAATCTCTGTTCACCTCTCTTCTCCTTTTCTTTTTTCAAAGGAAAAATCCTTATAAAAAAAAAACCCTAGTATTAAAGCAAATAGTGATTTATTTAAATATTTGTGAGAATAAAGCTTTATTTGTATTTTTTTTAGTATTAACGAAAATATTATTCTCTTATTTTAAAAACAATCATTCGACATATATACATGTGTTTGTTCATCAAATCAAATCAGACTAAAGTTTTAAATTTGGTCCGATTGTCCTTCTATTTAAAGGCAATTCAAGATCCACCGTCAGAATTTCATCCACAAAATGCGGCATTAATTCTATTGATAAAATGACTACGTCGCCGCTTTTTCTTTGTTGAGTTGCATGGTTAAATATTACAGCGAGATGGCTCATCGTGGCACAATATGCATGCACATGGTGTTATGATAAGCTTAGTAATGTACAGGGTTATTGGTCTGCACTGCACTGCCAAGTCGGTAAAAGAGATTTTGAACATTAAAAATAAAATGCTAATCATATAAAATGTATTTGCATTATAATTAGATTAATTTAAAAATATTATAATACAATAGCAGCTTATTTGTAGGAGTTTTTATGATATGTGTGTGGATGTGTGATTTTTTATTTTTCTCTTAACTATTGAAACAATTTCTGAAATTATGATAAAAATATTAAATATATAGTTAAATAATACAAGTGCCAAGCACGCGTCAAGAAAATAATCTAATTTCTTTTATTATATATAAGTCCTCCTATGCTTTGGCCCGTTTCTCATAAAAAAAAAAAAACAAAAAACTTCTACTTTTGGAAATGTCATTTTGTTGCCGTCACTGTTGGAATAATAATTAGCAATTTAATTTAAAGGGAAAGCATGATTTTGACACTGAACCTAACCAACCTATATCAACTTAACAAGTCCTACTTGCAACAAATCAAATATGCGATGTGTAGATACCCAAAAATAAATAAATGAATGTGTAATTTCACGCAATCTGGTTCATGATATTTAATTTGTTTGCAAAATGAGAAGATTAAAACTACAAAAACTATTTTTAAAAAATACAAAAGAATACCCATTATACTAGATATGAGCTTGCACGGACTGACTCAAATTTGTTCAATGTAAAAAAAAGAGATGTTTAGGTGATGTAAATATTTCTAAAAAAACAAAAATAAAATAAAATTAATAGACTTGATAAAATTAAATAAGATTGATTAATTTAAAAAATAAATGTGTTAATCTTCAAAACCCATTATCTTTGTCATGAACCTAGAACCAATCTCATAAAAGGCAAACTCTAAACAATAATGCATCAAAATTCTAAATTAATAAAAAATTAAGGGATAAACTTGAAAAAAAAATACAATAAAAATAAAATCCAAAACAAAATAAATAGCAATAAAATGAATGTAAACTAAATTTGATACAAAAGTAATTTGAAATTAAATGTTGAGATGACATTGAAAACAAAATTTAATAAGGAAAAAAAATAAAAAACAATTAAAAGAATAAGGATCAAATTTGATATAAAAATTAAATAAAACTAAATGATAAAAGATGAAATTAAAGAAAAAAATCAATTGAAAAAAGATAAAAAAACAAAATAAATAACAATTAAAAGAATAAGGATCAAATTTGATATAAAAATTAAATAAAACTAAATGATAAAAGATGAAATTAAAGAAAAAAATCAATTGAAAAAAGATAAAAAAACAAAATAAATAACAATTAAAAGAATAAGGATCAAATTCGATATAAAAATTAAATAAAACTAAATGATAAAAGATGAAATTAAAGAAAAAAATCAATTGAAAAAAGATTAAAAAAACAAAATAAATAACAATAAAAAAATAATAATTAAATTGAATAAAAAAATAAATGAAAAAATTACTTTATATTTTAATAACGAGAAAATGAAGAAATCAGGGAGGAGAAGGAAAATAATTCGTTGGAGCCCAACCAATGCTTAGCTTTGCACATACAAGCAAAAAGATCATGACAAGATACTTTCAACATTGCTTTAGAAGATGGTGTCTGTACATGGAACGATATCGCACACCCAACTTTTTTATTAGCATGTGTGTAGCACGTGCTAGTAAATTTTTTATAAAATAAAATTTATTTATCAAAAGATTAAATTGCTCCCAATCAATTTGTTAATAATTAAAAAATTGTTTGAAAATACAAAAAAAAAAACTTAGATGCAAGTTTGATAAATTTCTCTTTTAAGAGTAATATCATCTTTAAATTGTGCTTTGAAAATATATAAAAAAAATGAATTACCTGCTTATAAGCTTTTTAACAATTTTTTCTTGTAAAAATAATATAATCTTTACATTATGCCTAAAAATAAAATTGCCTCAAAGTCTTGTATGGTTTTTTTTTTTTTTTAATCCTTTAAAGTGCACGTACGCACTGCCCTTCGAAGGTCCATTTTTACTGGCACTTACCCCTTCCAAGGTAATTGTAGATATCCTAACCCTCAAAAGTAACATATTTTTTTGCCTCCCCTCCCCGCCTTGTGAGATTATCTCACAGGAGTGCGGGAGCCCTTATGATTGCACTGCGGGGTTTGTTCCTTCAATGGGGCAGACATGCTTAGGCTGAAAGGGATTGAGTTGAGTAATTGATAGGCGAAAGAGAAGACGACGAGGAAAGGAATGATGCTGATGATGTCTTAATTAACGTTGTTGGTTTAAGCCTTTAAGGTTGTTTCTTCAGCTGTTGCTTCATCTTGAAGAAATGCAGCAAAACAACAGACCCCAAAAGAAGGCAATCTTTGCTGTCATGGAAAGCAACCCGCTTCTACAGTTTTCTTTAGAACAAAACAGCCTCCTTTTTTTTCCCACTTTTTTGGCTGTGATTCATTGACAACTGCTGTCAATGAATTGTGATGACAATAGTCTTCATGGCAGGCAAGTGCGTTCTACAAATGCTGTCGCTTAGTTTATTCCTGATGATTGCAGCTTTTCTTGAAAAAGGACCATCTTTAACTTATACCACTATTCACTATTTACTATAAAAAAAAAAACTGTACACTTTTCATACGGGATAAATTGTTAATATACTGCTAGAGGTATATTGGGAGGTGTTGTTTTAAAATATAATTTATATAATTTTTTAATATATATTTTTAAATTTAAATTTTGCATGATTTAGATATTTCAAGATATAATTTATATAATTTTTTAATATATCTTTTTAAATAAAAGTTTTTTATACTTATTTATTAAATAAAATAAGAGTAGTGGGATTTGAACTTATATACTAACTTGTGCTTATTTTTTATCAAATAGAATGAGGGTGATGAGATTCGAACTAATGATCTTTTTGTCAACAAGACTCTGATACCATGTCAAAGAATCATCATCATACTATCTTGTACTTAATTTTTATTAAATTGAATAAAAGTAATGAGATTAGATCATATCAAAGAATAATCTTAACCTAAAAACTTAAATTGTTAGGTAATACCCCAACATATGATTTATATAATTCTCTAACATACATTTAAGTAAAAGTTTTTAGACTTGAAACTTGTACGAACTCATACTATTTTGTGTTTTATTTTTTATTATTAATTAGAATGAAGATGATAATATTTAAACTGTTAACCACTTGATTAACAAGATTCACTCACACTTTATCATAAGTGAGATAGATTTTTTTGGAAAATAAATACATGCAAGGCTTTTTCAGTGTTTTTTATATAAAAAATCATAATTATGATTCGAAAAGTATATATATATTTAATTAAATAAATCAAGAATTATATGTGTTAATAAATATAAAAAAATATTAACATATTCACTCACCTTACTACAATTCAAATAATTTTATTTTAACACAAAAGAATAGATGGTTTTTAGGATCAATTCCTTCTTTTTTTGTATTATTTATTTTATTTTTATTCGACTTAATTTACATATGTTTTATGTTGGAAACAATGTTTTTCAAATTAATTTCGTAAGTTTCTGAATTGTTAAATGGGTACTTAAAAGGATATATTTAATAATGCGTAGAATGTACTTGGATGGAAGGTTCATATTACATAAAATCATAAAGGCAAGGGTTATATTAAAAAATTAAATTGATGAGGAACAAAATTAATGGAACCAAAACAGTAGAGAGATGTATTTTTAATAACTATGGTGTTTATTCTAAGAGTGTGTTTGTCTAGCTTTTATGTTAGCAGTAAAATAAATCTGGTATAGTATAAAATTAAGTTTTGTATTGCAAGACTCGCTAAAAAATTAAATTTAAAATATATATTTTGTGCATCAGTTTATATATTTAAAAATATAATTATGGTTATTTTTCAATTTGTTTTTCACTCAAAAATATATTAAAATATTTTTTTTATTTTTTAATATCAGTACATCCAAATGATCCAAAAATACTAAAAAAATATTAATTTAAAGTAAAAAAATAAAAATAAATTTAATTTTGTTAAAAAATACTTTTAAAAAAAAATAAACAAGGTTGATATTTGTTTAACTAAGTTTTGTAAATATTCCATACTAGTTTCCTTTTTATACATGTATTTTTGATATATATAAACTTTAATCATAATTTTTAATAAATATTAATTTAAAATTAATTAACTATAACTAAAAATATTTTTTTCAAA